CGTAGATTCTCTACTCTCCTGAGTTCACTCGACTCTTACTTATAACCTGAATACCACTTTACTGAAAGGTGATAACTGTCTTAACCGTTAGGCAATTTTATGGGTTTTACTCAATGCGTGTGAGTGTAAGTATCCATTCTGAATACGGGCCAAAGTCTTAATCAGATACATGTTACCTATATAATTGAGGAATTATATAATTATGTTTAAATAAAATCATGTTTGCTTATTCTCAATATTCTTCAGTTGAATGATGAGTTACAATGAATACCGACCAGAATGTTTAACGATTTTAATTATATATACCGCCGACAATAATAGATGTATGAAAACTATCAAAAGAAGGCAAAAGTCGCCTCGCGATTCTTACGATGTTACCCGAAATCAGCCAAAAACTTTATACATTGATTTAAACAGCATAGGCATCCCCTTTTAAGAATATTTGCGCCACCGATACATGCACGTTGAAGTATTTATGAGCTCTATATAAAGTATGATTTGAATACAAATGCTAGTTTTTTAGAAACATTGACAGTCTGAATAGATTCAATTATATAGGTATATCATGCAATGTAAATCATACAGTTAGAAGGTTTTTTTTCCCTCAAAAATAACAACAAAAAAGAAATGTAATAGTGATCACACCCTTGATGGATAGAATTTAAAACACAGATGAGCTTCATTGAAATTTTGTGAAATTTAAGAAAACCATTCTAAACCATAGTCACGTGTTTGCTCTTGTTTGAACTGAAAAGACGATGTAAATGGTCTGATCTACGTTCTTGATAGACCTGGATTGTACGTCTTAGATAGCCTGATGTAATTTTGAAGAAAAAGGGATGGGGATTAGGAGCGGGAGCGGAAACGGTGGTGTGAGCGAGAACGGTACCGTGAGCGAGAGCGGGATCGTGAAAGTGACATGAGCGAAAGCGGAACGGTAGCGGAAGCGAGGTGAGAATGAGGTAGGGGATAGTAAGAACGATGATCCAAATTCTACTGAAGTTGTCACCCTTCAATCATTATCAGGGTAAAGAGTTCATATCCGAGCAAAGACGTCATACATTACATCGGCTGATAGACTTTTGAAGTCATCTGTTCATTCACTGATAATTTCTTCGACGGCGGTAAACTTTCTGTTGTCAGAAATTTTTAATTTGAATTCTTTAACTTTGATGGTATTTTAAGAATATGAGACAAAATATATCCAATGCTCAATTGTACATTTGATATTTACTGTCTTTTTTGTTTGTTGTAGAACTCATTCAAATCGTATTAAAGTCATTTTTGAGTTGATTATGACAGTCAGAGATATTTAGCATACATTTGCCGATATATACTTTATGTTCCTTTGGATGTGAAATATATACATTGTCAAAGATTATTTGTCTGTTGTTGTTTTACATCGAAAACAACTTGGTAAAAGTACTTTCAATTTGTGTAAAGTGCAAGGTTATTATGCATAAAGGCCGACCCGTGCCGATTGCTTCAGTAAATAGTGAGTTAAATGAATGTTATTGGTCAAAAGTGCATGCAGATGTAAATATTTCTGGTGTGAAACATTATTGTCATGAGACTGAAAACAAATTACACTTAAATCATTTATTTTTTAACTTACAAAAATATACTTTGTTTTCAAAGCACAAAACAACCAAAATGATAATAATGTAAGAAATTCATACAAATATATATTTTCAAAGATAATGTAAGGATTTTATTAGAAGATTTTTCCTAAAAACATTTAAACGTAATTAAAAAGATTAAGATTATTGATATTTGATCAAATTGAATGCTGCCTTCTGTGTAGAAAAATAACACCTATAAAAAGCATTTTGTCATATAAAGTTATTTTCCTGCCCTGATCACTTGTATCAGGTGGTTACTTGACGTCATTGTCTTCATCCAGAGCCAGTCTTTTGCTTAAAATTGTACATCTAAGCTCAGCAGTAAGGGTTTTGAATACTGTTGTACATTCATCAATTATTTCACGACCAGTCATCTGTTTTCCGTTTACTTTAAGTATATCTGAATAATAGTTGGTGTCGAGAGTGTCAGGTACATACGAGCCATAATATATTCTATGTGGCAGTAAGGCTAGCATGTCCACAGAGTTGTTCACAAGTGATTTGTAACTCAGCGCCATAGAGGTTGTAAGAATACTTAAACATTGTCGTGTTGGCACTTAGTGATAATACACATTATCATTATATTTGCTTTTAGCATATACATATTCTTTCTCAAGCCAGTTTTTTTATAATCGGTTTGCAACTTTGGATGATAGAGTCAACTTGATATTTTTCCGCTATATATACAATGCGCAAAACATTGGTTTTTCTGACATTGCAAGCTCTACCAAATCATTACATTATAAATCCTAACATAAAACAAAATCTCAAAGATGGAGATATCTTGTATTCCACAGTAAAGACTTTTATTAATGAGATCAGAGATCTTTACAAGTATCTCTTTTATATATTAATTTTGTATGAACCCGGAACTAACGGTCTTTTTAAGACCCAGGTTGAACATGAATAATTATATGATAAAACGACCGAAGGAACTTTCAATGAAAGGAAAATGGAAGCGGAATTTGGACATCTATTTGATCGAGCGTATATATAATTATATTGCTTTTAACATCATATACACACGTTTCCCAGATGTCAAAGTAAGAAGATTGTTTTAATCAATTGAACAGTGCGTTACGTCAAGTTAAACCATCAAATGAACAAAAATGGTATCGGACCCACTGCACTGCGTTGCAATCGAATCAACCGCCGACTGCGTTAGTATCATTGTTTGGCATTTATTGTGTAATCAGGCAATAACATTATCAAAAGTTCCAAAATATTGTAGTTTTCTTTGCAAGTATCATTCAAACGATGTGATGCCGTTGTATTATAGGGTCTTTTTGCACACGTTTTTTTTACCAAATTAGGCAAAATGTACAGACGTATTGCATTAACGACATTGTATTACATGTGCGTGTAATAAGTTGAAATAGTACACATGTGAGCTCCCGTCTCACTAAGTGTTTCCACCAAAACATTAAAACATCAAACAAAATTCAGTCATAAACTTACCAACAACAGCAAACGGCCATTATTTATCAATCGCTTCTGCAACGAATACTCCACCGCCGTTGCGATGGACCCACCGCTTCTGCGAATGCTATGACCGCAGTCACTTTTAACACAAATTCGACTGTATATATAATTTTCGTAGCATCGATTGTATTGTCATGAAAATAGCTTATTTTCGCTATCCATATTTATCCATAGTAAGACCCTTAACTAGTTTTTGTACAATTTTTTAAACTGGGCTGAGCTCATGTTAGACGCTTTGATTAGTCTGGTCAAATCCCCAACACTCTATTCTGAAAAATAAACTAAATTGAAGTACAACAATGTATTTTATTTAAAAAAGTCTTTGAGTCCAAATTTACTTGATAGTATCTCCAGCAGCAATCTGCCACCACTGGCACCGGTAATACATTTTGAACTAGTTTGGTTGCAAACACACTTGGAATAAGCGAATGAAACATTGCAAAACTTGACTTAATGGCGAATATTTTTAATAAAACTATGTAATCATACTGTGATTACCTGTAGTGTGCGTAATACTTATTCTCTGTGTGTCGTCAAAATATGTTTATTTTACATTTAAAAAGAGATTGTATAGTAATTATCAGTTTTTCAAATATCATTTTTGAGCAGCAAATAATTTGGTAATTTTAAAACATTCATACAGTAAAATTTACTGTACAAAATACAGTTATATCAACCGAACTAAAAAAACAATATGTAAAACATATATGCATGCTAATTACATATCTCCTATTTTTTGTTACTCTGTTTTCGTTTATCCCTTCTGAAGATATATATCGCATCTTTTTAAGATCGCATCTTTTTAAAGTTCGGTAAAGGACTTTGAACGCAATAGTTATAATACACAGAACGGATACGGTATTTCGGTCTAACAATGGTGATCACAGAACTCGGAATGATTCCCTGCACGTCGGTTCCCGTCGTTCTCAGAATGAGGCAGGACGAGACAAATGAAACTTAAATAAAGGTGCAAGATAAGTCCGAAATTTAAAATATGCGAAAATAAATCTGTATTTTTTTTAAAAAAAGATCAGTTGTGACACAGGTTGCGGAACTTATATTAAGTGCTAAATATAAAATGACTTAAATTTCGCTCAGAAACAAATAGTGATTACTACATTCTCATAAGAAATTTGTTTTAGCCCGATTATTCGAAAAATCGGGAGAGCTATTGTAATCACCCAGACGTCAATGGTGTCGTCGGCGTCACGCTATGATTAAGTATTTGCATGCAGGTTGGTATATCCAAAACTACTGTATGTAATGGGTTGAAGGTCCACACACTATAGGAGGTCACTATCCAAGGCCCATAACTCTTGTGTGGGTTTTGACAGAATATTTGCCTTTTTGACTAAGAAACTTCTAAATTATCCAGGCTCTTGTATCAAACACAGAGCGTCCTTGCTCTTCTTAATAGACAAGTCGCAAGCTTAAACATTCTTTTTCGTAGAACTTTCACTTTAGTCACCGGTACTATAAATAAACTAAAATTTCCAAAGAAACATGCGATAAAAGTCATCACGAAGATTGTGGTGATTCACACGAGGATTAAAGTTAAGGATGCGAAAAATTCAACGTTGAATGGTGCCAACAGTTTCATACGAGAATGTACAACCTTACTACTTTATCTAAAAAAATACAAAAGGGCGGCAAAAGAGATTGTAGAAAAAAACTTACATTTCATTATGGGACCTTTAACCGGCCCAAACAGGACATCGTATATTTCATCTGCACTTACCCAAGTGGAAGATAACATTTAGAAGACGTAAGTAGGGTCTGCTGGCTGGGGGTATAGTTGTACAAATATTACAGGTGTGAATGTGGTTGTAAACAAAGTTTCTTCATTTATTTTTCAATGTACAAAAATGTACTTTTATTAAAGCAGTGATACCAATCATTATGAAAGTGACAGACATCATGTATATATAGATATTTTCTAAAATAACGACTTTAATAAACGTTTTGTAAACGTAATCATACCGGTATCGATTATTGATAAATTATTTAAAATAAACGCTGTCTTCTTGAAAGAAAAATAACACATATAAATAGCGTGTCATATATATATTGAGCGAACAGCTACAAGGTGTAATTGTCTTCATACAGTGCCAGTTTTTTGCTTAATATTGTACATCTAAGCTCTGCAGGAAGGGTCTGGAAAACTATTTTACATTCATCAATGATTTCACGGACAGTAATATTTTTTCCGTTCAAATCTCGTGTTTGTGAATGACAGTCGGTACAAAGAGTGTCGGGTTTATACGAGCCATAATATATTCTATGTGGCATTTTTGCGAGAATTTCCACAGCGTTGTCTATAAGTGATTTGTAATTCAGTGACAAAGACGTCGTAAGAATACTCAAACATTGTCTTGTTGGCACTACGCTATGATGATAATAATTTGAATAATATTTGTTGCTTTTAGCAGATACATATTCTTTCTGGAGCCAGTTTTGCATAATCAGTTGGCAAATTTGGATGATAGGGTCAACTTGATATTCCTCAGCTATAGGTACAATGCGCAGAACATTGGCTTCTGAAAAAATAAAATAAGAAAGAAATGCAATTAGACTTGGCCGTACGAAAGATCGGCGGGGACACGCGTGTATTCCCGATTTCTTCGTGAATTCACAATTTTATCTTCGGGAATTTACGATTTCAACTTCACAAATTTATGATTTCAATTCTCGAAGTGGAATTCGTGTAGCTGAAATAGTAAATTCATGAAGTTAAAATCGTGAAATTGAAGCCATGAATTCATGAAGTTGAGTTCGTGAAGCTGAAATAGTGAATTCATGAAGTTAAAATCGTGAATTCGTGAAGTTTAAATCCTGATTTCATGAAGTTTAAAATCGTGAATTCAACATGAAGTTGAAATCGCTTATTTTTGATGTTGAAATCGTGGACTCGTGGAGATGGAATTAAGTATTCAAGATGTTGAATTCGTTAAATTGAAATCGTGCATTGATGATTTCACGATGTTAAACTTGTGAATTCACTGATCATAAAGTTGAAATGTCCCCACCGGTCTTTAAATTAATTCTGCCATACCGTTTGTTAAAGATCAAAACAATCAACCGATTTTCTTTAACCATTTAATTATAAAAAAAAAACAAAAAAAAAACATTAACGTTCAATACACAAAACAAAACACATAGCAAGCATATCATTTCTCAATTTTACTTCATTATTTGCTACTTAGGTATTCTTTCATCTACTAGAATCTACTGTATCTGTTAAACGTATTGACTTTATTAAGCTGATAAAAACAAAGATAAAATTTAAACAACGATAATATGTGCATGAAACTAAAGGTTTCATGTACCATGTACTTATGTGTGTCATTTACAAAATATCATTATTTACCTGTAACTGGCTTAAATGTCCCTGGATTAATACACAGTAAAAATTCATGAAATTCTGAATGGTTCTTTCCTTTCAAGAAGACTGCTGATTGCTGCTTTTCTTTGAAATCATTTTTGAACATGGCATCAAAAACTGGTGAAGAAAGTATAAGAAAGTTTTGTGAAACATACAGTTCTTGTTGATCATCGAAAACTAAACATACTTCATCCAAACACTTTCCAGGTGCGGTAAACGGCTCCGGACACTTCTGACATTTTTCTTCCTTCTTATCTTCTTTGTGTGTACTCATTTCAAACCTGTTTTATAATTAAATCCTTGAATGAATAACGATATTTATATATAGTTTTATTTAAATTCTTGAATGAATACATTTTTTCATTCAGCCATTTAACGAATACAACAGGTTTAAACTGACTGTCCTAACTATCTTTCTACAAAAACCAAAGAAATAACAACTCTGTTATGCGTTTGCGAGAGAAATGCTTATTTATTGTATGTGCACGACTAAATATGTTACATATATTTCACATTTATGTAAACCAAAACTTAGACAATGGAGGAATACACATCCTACTAAACAGTATATATCTACACGGATATGAAAATAATAATCTGTATTATTATGTCTTTCAATATATAAAATTTTGATTGACAGATAGCATTATCTTGACCCTATGCAAAATTAAGAGGTCACGTTAACAAGCATGTTCCGAACAAATTTATGAAAAATGTAGTTTTCACAAAATTGATCGCAAATCCGTCTTAGGAATGACAGCCGCCCACGAACAACCTAACCTACTTTGTAGGGGGAAACGTGTTTCCGTGGCATGCACGTTAAAGTTTATTTAAACGTAAAACTTTAAATTCATTCCTCAGGATAAAGGAATCACGGAACATTTCCGAACATGCTAAAAAAGAAAATCAATATCACCAAAGGTACTACACGTCTGATATCATTCTTGAATTTGAATTTGAAATTGCCACGTAGAAAATCTCGCTAGAACTGATTTCAACAATCAATACCCGCCAAACATAAACTCTTATTCACGAACCGTGACAAACCGGTTTTGTTATACAATGTCCGTAAGGACAATAGTACTCAACTATACGATGTAATGTTGAGTACTTAAAATGATATACAGATCAATACTAACAAAATCCATTTATAAAGCTATCAATACACCACGATATATCTTATCTACATTTGTTACGCGTTAATCTTTAGTTTTGCCAAGACAGGTTCGTAATGTATAGTTCATACACGTTAGATAAAATCACATCGATATGGTTATTTAAAGCATACGAAATCACTTGTTATTAAGCGGACTTCATCATAGAAAACGTTATTCAGAAAACAAAGTTTATTTTATACAAAAGAATGAAAATGTGGAAAAGTTATATGTACTATGATTTTAATTATTTATTTAGGCATGTAATTTTGTGTGTTTTTGTCAAAAGGACACATTGAAGAATCTTACAGCAGACGAAATTAAATTTAACTAGATCTCAAGGAGAGGAAATTACACAAAATAGGTCCCATTATACAAACACATTTGTTAGTGTTTCGAAAGTTTATAAAAGTTTGCGTTACTGGACATGTACGATAGCTTGAAATTACTCCATGTACTGCCATTGAAGATCGATTAGCATGAAATTATCGTTAAGTTTGTGGCATTTTAGTTTCTTCTATCGTTTTCTAGTCAGTCGGCTCGAAGACATCACGCTTAATATATGTTGCCTGCATTTTTTTCCGTCACATTCAGGAGCAGATAACTCGAAGTTAAGCATACCGAGACTTTATTTTATTTACATCATTTTCAGTTACTTTATTTTCAGTTATTATGTAAAGTTTAAAACATTTCTATCGAAAATATTTCTTAGTAAGCTTCAATGTTTTAACGTTCAAAAAGGAGCACGTATCAAAGAAAAAATATATATCAGTTTTCATAAACTACTATCAAATTAACCGATTTTGTTTTACCATGTAATTGTCAATAGACATTTACTTCCGATGCACAAAACAAAACTTATAACAATTATATCATTTACTATTCTTCTTTGTTTATTATTTATTTTTTTATTTATTTTATTTATTTTTTGTTGCTGCTTTGGTACTATATAATCAGGTCATTACTCTGTGGTAAATAAAACTGAAACAAAATGCACAAGTATATAGAATAATAGGAATTGACAAAAGAAGTTTTCTTACATTGTCATGCATATTTATATAAGCATTAGTTTATATTTTTACTTAAAACTCAATTCGCACCATCATATTATCATGTATAATGATTCAAAGATTGTTTAGAAAAAAAACCATACAGCTTACTTTGAACGTTAAACTGCAATTATTACAGACACACCCTATTCCGCAACATATCCTACCTAATAGTTGATCCAGGAATTATAAATAATTATATATAGCTTTTTAATCATGGAAACAAAGACAGTTACACAAGTCGATTGACTAAACGCTTACCTATTATTGTATAAGGAATGGTAGTACCCTTTTGATGTACAAATTGGAATGACAAAGGTATTTAATATATAAAACATTTTTAACTACAGAAAATAGACTTCTACTCTTTTGAGCTTTTCAAAGAATTATAATTTCTAAAGTTATACCAAATCATCACAAGCATAAATCCTAACATAAAACAAAATCTTAAAGATGGAAATATCTTGTATACCCCAGTGAAGACTTTTGTTAATGAGATCAGAGATTTTTACTAGTATCTCTTTTATATATTAATTTTGTATGACAAAAATATTTTTGAACCCGTGACTTACGGTCTTTTTTAAGTCCCAGGTTAAACGTGAATAATTCTATGATATTTACGACCAAAGGAATTTTCAATATAAGGAAAATGCAAGCGGAACCCGGACATCTATTTGAACAAGCGTATACAATTGTGTTGCTTTAAACACCAAATAAACACGCTTCCCAGATGTCAAAGTAAGAAAAGGGTTGTACTCAATTGAATAGTGCGTTACGTCAAATTCAACCCTCAAAATGTACATAAATGGTATCGGGGCCAGTGCACTGCGTTGCAATAAAATCTGCCACCGCCTGCGTTGTAATAATTGTTTAGCATTTATTTTGTAAACAGGCAATAATAATTATCAAACGTTCCAAAATTGGTTGTTTTTGCAAGTATCATTCATACGATATGATGCAGTTGTATTGTAGGGTCGTTTTGCACACATTTGTACGTGTTTTTTTACCAAAATTAGGCAAAAGTTACGTCCTCCTGTCAAATTGTTAAATAGTGTTTGCAAAAAAGGCAATGTATTTCACCGTGTGCGTGTTATAAGTTGCAAAAGTACATATGTGTGCTCCCGTCTAACTAACTGTGTCCACTTAAGCATAAAACAAAATTCAGTCATACACTTACCAAGAACAGTAAACGGTCACTTTTGATCCACCCCTTCTGTGACGAATACTCAATTGCCGCTGCGATGGACACACCGCTTCTGTGAATGCTATGGCCGCAGTCACTTTTAACATAAATTCGACTGTATATCTAATCTTCGTAGCATCGATCGAATTGTCATGAAAATAGCTAATTTTCGCTATCCATATTTACCCATAGTAAGACCGTCAACTAGTTTTTGTACATTTTTTAAACTGGGCTGAACTCATGTTAGACGCGTTAATTAGTCTTGGTCAAATCACCCACACTCTTTTCTGCAAAATAAACTAAACTGAAGTATTTTATTTAAAAAAAAACGCTAAAAATATTATATGAAATAAAAATATATATTAAATATGAAATGGAGAAATGTCTTTGAGTCCAAACTTTCTTGATAGTATCTCCACCAGCAATCTGCCACCACTGGCACCGGTAATACATTTTGAACTAGTTTGGTTGCAAACATACTTGGAACAAGAGAGCGAAACGATGCAAACTTGATTAAATGGCGAAGATTTTTAATAACACTATGTAATCATAATGTGATTACCAGTAGTGTGTGTAATATATTTTCTCAATATGTTTATTTTACATTGAAAAAGAGATTGTATAGTAATTATCAGTTTTTCAAATATCAACTTTGAGCATTATATATCTTTAGCCAATAATTTGATAATTTTAAAACAATCATGCAGTAAAATTGACTGTACAAAATACAGTTATATCAACCGAACTAAAAAACAATATGTAAAACATATATGCATGCTAATTACATATCTCCTATTTTTTGTTACTCTGTTTTCGTTCAACCCTTCTGAAGATATGTATCGTATCTTTTTAAGATCGCATCTTTTTTAAGTCCGGAAAAGGACTTTGAACGCAATAGATATAATACACAGAACGGATACGGTATTTCAGTCAAACCTGTTTCGCTGAGAAACAAATAGTGATTACTACATTCTCAATAGACATTTGATTTAGTCTAATTATTCGAAAAATAGGGAGAGCTATCGTAATCACCCAGACGCCAGTTAAGTATGCGACAAATTCAACGTGGAACAGTTTCATTCGAGAATGTTTTGCTACTTTATCTATAAAAATACAAAAGGGCGGCACAAGAGTTTTCAGAAAAAAAAAAAAACAACTTGCATTTCATTAGGTGTCCTTTAACTGGCCCAAGCAGGACATCGTATATTACAGCTACACTTACCCAAGCGGAAGATAACAGTTATTTAGAAGACGTAAGTAAGCTCTGCTAAGTGTATACAAATATTACAAGTGAAAATGTGGCTGCAAACAAAGTTTATTCATTTAACTTTCAATGTACAAAAGTATACTTTTTATTAAAGCATACAAACCATTCGACACAGCAATCAGTAAGAAAGTAATGTATTTATAGATATTTTTAAAAATAAATAATTTAAAATAAACACTGTCTTCTGTAAAGCAAAATAACACCTATAAAAAGCATCGTGTCATATATACATGTTTATATTGAGCAAACAGCTACAAGGTGTAATTGTCTTTATTGTCTTTATACAATGCTAGTTTTTTGCTTAATATTGTACATCTAAGCTCAGCAGGAAGGGTCTGGAATACTGTTTTACATTCTTCAATTATTTCATGGACAGTGACATTCTTTCCGTTTATTTCTCGTGTTTCTGAATGATAGTTGGTACAAAGAGTGTCAGGTGTATACGAGCCATAGTATATTCGATGCGGCATTTTGGCGAGAATGTCCACAGCGTTGTCTACAAGTGATTTGTAATTCAGTGCCAAAGACATCGTAAGAATGCTCAAACATTGTCTTGTTGGCACTACGCTATAATGATACGAATGATAATTATCGTTGCTTTTGGCAGATGCATATTCTTTCTCGAGCCAGTTTTTTATAACCGATTTGCAACTTTGGATGATAGTGTCAACTTGATATTCCTCTGCTATAAGTACAATGCACAGAACATTGGTTTCTGAAAAAATAA